TCCAATGGATGGAAATCTGACTTCCAGTGCAAGAGACATGTGTTCAATCCCTGTTGGGGAACTGGGATCCCCCATGCCACAATTAGAGAAAAGGCTATGAGGTGCAAAGAGGAGCCTGCGTGCTGCAACTAAGATCTGATGCAACCAAAAATAAAGTAAAAAATAAATTTAAATGACTTAAATAAAATCCAAAATTCAGTTCCTTACCTGAGCTAGCCATGTCTCAAGTACTCAGCAGCCCCACGTGCTCGTGGATCCCCTACCAGACAGCAAACATACAGAGCATTTTCATTCTCCTGGAAAGCTCCAGCACACAGCACTGAACATAGGCTGTTTTTCAATCCACCTTTAGTAGTGAACTCAACACATTAGAGTAGAAAAAAGCTGATACTCCGTTTTACTTTAGTCCCGCTCCTGAGTCTTACTTCTTTTACAAGAGGAAGCAATCAACCAGGTTCAGCCAAGCCCTGCTCTCTGGTAAGCAAAACATCCTTTCCTAAAACGAGGAGCTCTAAGAGTATCAATCTAAAAAGTTTCCAAAGGCAATCTCCTTCATAACTACAAGAAGCATCAATTGCAAAGTAAACCGTTAGAGAAATAGGATCCAGCTTTCCCACTGGCTTTTAGAGCTTTGAAAAGGTTACCTTTATCTGAGCAGAAGTGACTATACTGACACCATTTCTTGGTGGTTCTCAAACTCTGGTGTGCACGCAAATCACTGGAGAAGTTTGTTATAACACAGATTCCCAGGTCTGACCACCAGTTTCAGATTCGGTAAATCCAGGGTAGACGCAACCCATCCCCAACACTGATGGTGCTGATCCCGAGGCTACACTTTGAGCCACCGACCCAGGCTAACAAAAACAATGGGAAGATGGTAAGACTTGACACTTGCATAGACATTTTGCCGGGCAAGAGTGCAGAAGCCTGTGCAGAGAAAGCAGACTGACATGAAATGGGTCAGGACTGTGTGCCCTCAGCCTCTTTTCCAGAAAGATATATACCAGAGCATCCACGCAGAATAGGCCGTGGACAAAACACCCAGTAAGAAATGGTTTCTGATTCTTAAGTCAGCAATTTAGTCAAAATGAGGCCCTGAATAACTCTCCCTCACATCTCAAAGAGGCAGCCTCCATCTATACCTATTAACTTCATAAATCTCTGAAAACCAGCTTCTAACCCCTTCCCTGCCCCCAAACAGTTAAACCAGAAATTTAAAGCCTACAGTGATTGCCTAATTGCCCAAACCACTAACGTCTTAATCTCCACTTTAACTGGCCTTTCCATAACATTTTGTGTTTTAGCAACCTGTCTGCCTCAGAAATTTTCATCTGCTTCGGCCTCCATGGTTCATTTTTTATTTAATGAAACTCTCAGTCTCTTTAATGGGAGCTCCTCAGACTGTTTTTTCTCTTTCTCGGGGGGAAAAAAGATTATCACAGAAGTTATAAAGGGAGAAATGGACCCCTTCCTGGCACACAGGCTGAGATCTGCATTAAATAAGAATGAGAAGATTCTGCAAGTGATGTCATTGGTTGAGGGATCATGCTTGCTGCTCTCTTGGTATTTAGGCCTCCTTCTATAGGAGGACATCGTTTTTCTTTGTATCCTAAATAAGGAAAAAGGGAGACATAACTGAAATTCAACATCAGCCCACAAATTCTGTACCAGGGAACCTAACAAAAAGGTAGAATACCCCCTTCCATAGGCACAGGGTTGAAGGTAGCATGTACACTGCATGCTCAGTCACTCACTTGAGTCTGACTCTTACAACCCCATGACTGCAGCTCACCAGGCTCCTCTGTCCATGGGATTCTCCAGGAAAGAATACTGGAGTGGGTAGCCATTCCCTTCTCCAGGGGAATCTTCCTGATGCAGGGATCAAACTGGGTCTCCTGCATTTCAGGTAGATTCTTTACCACTAAGTTAGTAGGCTTAGTTGGTAGCATAAATCTTATCTAGAAATTGCTTGGCACCAGAATCAAGAGGGAACAAAAAGCACATGAGATCTTTTGACCAATCCCTGTTCTCACATTCTGAAATTTCCATCACGTTGCAGTTAAAAGGATGAAAAATGGTCTGGCCCAACAGGGAGACAACTTCAAGTGTGGCAGACCCCCTAGAGTACCCTTAGCATCTCCTACTATCACAGCCTTCCCACAGATGTTCCCCAAAGAATCTACCTAAAGTGATTAACTCTCAAAGTTCAACTATCATCTTTAGGGGAGTTATTTTAAAAGCTCTGGCCTATGTAAATCCATGGCTGATTCATGTCAATGTATGGCAAAAACCACTACAATACTGTAAAGTAATTAGCCTCCAACTAATAAAAATAAATGAAAAAAAATAAATAAATAAAAGTTCTGGCCTTTGTCCTGACTTTTAGCCACTCTGTCTCCACTAGAAATTTTCGACAATGACCCCAACATTACTTCAACCTACTATGTGAATCAGATGGCCTCAGTATGCCTTCCAACCCTAATTCTATGATTACATCTAACCTTCACTCCAAACTGGCGCGCCTTCTGACCCACCCTCCTCTGCCAGTTGGCAGTGGTATTCCGTCAGAGCAGTCCACGGGTTAATTTCAGGGTCAACTCTCAAGTCTTCCCTCACTCATCACGTCCCACAGAATGAATGAGACACAAGGATGAGTGCCCTGACACTTCCATATCCTTTGTAAGTTTGTGGCTACGTGCAAAGGAGGCACTCAAAAAACAGATAAGCTAAACCATATTTGTCAACCATAATTCCTAAATTTAAGCCCTTTCCATCTTAACAGCCACACACTTTATTTAATCCTATATAACTCTCCCTGGTACTATTCAAAGAGCCTGCAGTCTGGTCTCCTTTTCACCAGTCTTTCCCCATTTCAGTCATCTTCCACACAGCTACCAGTTATCTTTCCAAAAGCAATGTCACTCTCCCATTTGAAAACCTTTAGTGTCTATTCCATTTATTCAAAGTTCAAACTTCTTACTTGACATCCACAACTCTTCAGGATCGGGTCCAAATTATCCCTCCAACCATACTTCACCACTCTCTGTCATGTATCTGACCATGTCTTTATGTCAGCAGAGACTGTCTCCTTTGCCTGGAATACTACCATCCATCCTTTCCTCCCTATCCATTACTCCCCAATCTGAGTAACTTCTACTGTACCTGCCATTTCTTCTGTGCACCCACTGATGTAACACTTGTTGTCTTGTATTAATTTTAAGTACAACATTTGAATATTCTATTAAAGGGTTCTCCTTAAGGTGGAACTCTGCCTCACTCTATGGGGCCTGGCAGACTGTTCACAGGTGGCACATAACTGTCTGCTGAACCAAAGAGCTTACATAGCCAAAAGAATAATATCTTTTCAAAGTTTTCACTACTTTGGGGAGGCTGTTACTTCAGCAGTGCAGTCACTGCTCTAAATAATTCTAGAACTCTCTTCTGCCATTTGGAATTGCCTTCTGAGCTTGTTTTCTCTCCAGAAAAGAAAATCAATCCCCTTACTTTAAACTCATGAAACATTTTCACCCCAAAACAGGAGAGCCAAGTGTGTGGGCTGCCATCCTCTACCCACCACACTTCATCACATGGATTTGTTCCAAATAATTTCTTGCCCTTTCAAACAAAGAAACAAAAAATGCCTTCAAAGGATTAAAACCTTGCCATCACTAACATCTTGCCAGAGGCTCTCAGAGACAAATTCAAAGAGAAATGCAGAAGTCTTGCCAATGGTCATACTTAGACGCTCAGTCTGTCTGACTCTTTGCGACCCCTTGGACTGTAGTCTGCCAGGCTCCTCTGTCCATGGGGATTCTTCAGGGAAGAATACTGGAGTGGATTGCCATGCCCTCCTCCAGGGGATCTTTCCAACCCAGGCCTCCCACACTGCATGCGGATTCTTTACCTTCTGAGCCACTGGGGAAGCCCTTGCCATAGTAGCACCACTGGAATAACAGTATCTCAAAAGGCTTCCATGTGATTGTGAAGACTTAAGTGTGTATGTTTAGGTACAGGTTTTATTTTTCACAAAACAATGCATTTCACCTTGCTGCATATTTGTTATATGAAATTTTTTAAAGTGTGTCTCGGTTTCTGCAAAGTAAAAAGGAGTCTAAGCTTCCCCATGCTCCCTTGAATGCCAAGATCATTGAAAACCAAGTTTAATAACTACTGAATCTATTTCCAAAGATGCAAGATTCTGCTTTGAGAACTTCATTAGCATATTCTTGAGGCAGAACCACACTACACAGAAAAGCAGCAACGCCCTTTTCCAAGAAAAGGGTCCCATCATTTAACAGACGGATGCCATAAATATGACAAAGGGAAAGGTCACTATTTTGCTTAATTCAACATGTCCTGCGCATCTTCTGGTGCTCTGCCCCACTCCAGGCGACCCAAGAAAAAGAGAAAAGGACACAGCCCTAGCACTCCAGCTTTCAAAATCATTTTCAGACAACGTCTTTCCAAAGCACTGAATCCATTCGTAACCATCTATCTCTGGTGAAGTAGTTTACACGCATGACTCTATTCACACTTCAGATTTAATTGCGGGGGGTCGGGGGGAGGCAGATAAATCTCTTTATCCTCACATCATCCCTGTGGGAAAGGAGAAAGCTTGATCCTTCCCATCGCCGGGCTGGAAAACTGAGGAAGCAGCAGGAAAGCGATGGTCCTCACCTTTCCCTGCCCCTCCCGACCAGCACTAGAGGCGGAAGCCAGGATTTCTGACATCCCTGTCCAAGCCCGCTAGTTCAGTGAGAAGGAAGAATCAAACTCCAGCTCCTTCCCGCAGAAACGCACACCGACCAGACACCGCCCGGCCCCATCTCCTGGGAACTGCAGGTGGAAGCGCGGTAATGGTGGATACAGAAGGCGGAGGAGACAGGAGGGGCGCGCTCGCGTGCCCCCTCCGCCGTCTCCCTCTGTCCCGACAAGTCGCTGCCAAGGCAACCCGAGGCCGCAGGACCGGGGACCCCCTACTCCCCGCATACGACGGGTACCTTCGAGTACTCCTGAGCCAGCTTCTGGTACTTCCCCTGCAACTCTGCCGAGGCCATGGCCTCCCCCGCCCTGTCCAGGCCAGACTGCCCAGGCCACTCAGCCCCACCCCCCGCCCCCAACCCCAGACACGCTGCCGGGTATGGCTCCACAAGCTCCTGCCCGCTCTGCCACCGCCGCCGCGCCTCCTCCTCCACTTCCGGGTTCGCCGGGTGAGAGGAAGGAGGAGTGGGGCCAGGGGTGGAGCGACCATCGGGGGCGGGGCGACGTCTGACGTCACTGCCCCACCCTCCCGCGCCCGAGCACGTACACGCGCAGAATCGCTGGCGCTCCTGGGCTCTGCCTTTAGGACCAGTGGGCGCCATCTTGACTCATGGTCCAAGATGGCGACCCAGAACAGGGAAGGAGAGCATTAAAAGGGGAAGAAAATGATAAGAGCCCACAGAATGGGCGGGGTACGGCGGAGAGGGGCGATGGTGCGAAGAATCGAGGACCGGAAGAAGAAACATTCTAAGCGCATCAAGAATTCTGGTCGAACACACCGTCCTCCCCTACTGGTTCCCATGGCAACCGCCTGTCATTTGATGGTTACATCTTTCAGAAGGTGCTCAGAGAGAAAGACCTCTGTATTCCGCTACCTGCTATCCGGATATGGTAGCCCCGGACATGGCCTGCATTGTAAACTCTCCCCAGTTTTATAAAGCGCGCTTCTGTCACCCTGTTCTGCTCCAGACAAACCTTCTTTGTCTTATATTTTGACGTTGGGATGTCTTTGTGTCCATTCTCTACCCATTCCAACCGCCCAGCCCTGCCCCCAAACTGGCACTGCATCAGAGCGTTTTCTCAGAGAATTGGGTAAAAAGCTCTTAGGAAATTTCAGGGAATGATCCCTGCCACGCATGCAGATAGGGTGGACGTTAACGACATGTAACTGGACAATTGAAGCAAGTAATAGTCTGCCTGAAATACTTTATGCCGCTTTGCTCATTAAATATGTTCTGAGGATGTTTCATATGTTAGATATTCTAAGCATTGCGTTTATTGCAACATTGACATGTTCATAGAGGAATAAAAAATAAATTTAGGATACTTGTTTGCCATAAATTACAGCACCGCAGTTTAATAAAACTAATAACCTAGATCTGTATATATCTGCATGAATCTGTGTCTATCAACATAACAAAACACTGAAATGTAAAAAGCAAATTGCAGTATACTAGAGCATTTGAGGAATATAAAGCAACATTTGTGCTGCTCATGGACACATGAACGTGTACTAAAAATAGAGAAACAAGAACTGGAAGGATACACGTCTAATTCTGGCTTGTGAATGCCTCTAGTGAGAAAACGAAGAAAGGGGAATGAGAAAGAACAAAGAAGCATAAATTTTATTTTTATTTAATTTTTTCAAGTGACTGTGACTGGAAGTTAACATTTATTATCCAGGTAGTAGGGAAAGGGGTGTTAGTTATATTGTTATTTTAGAACGTTTGATATTTTTTCCATGATTAAAAAAACACCTCCTGTTTTCCTGTTTGACGTTTGACTATGAGTATGCCTGGAATTTTAAAGTGAAAGCATGAGCTGGTATATGCACTTTTCAGCCACTGTAATGTAAGAAAAGGATTACAAACTTTTTAAAATGTTGTTTACACTTTTCAGTTGGCTAACAGCCAAGCCGTACTATCCAGCAAACTTGCAGAATTTTAAAAATTATTATTATTGGTTTTCCATGGCACCACCAAGCGGCAGAATTAAATATTGTTAAGTGTATTTCTGTAGTTTGTAATGTAATGGAATTTTCAATTATTTAAAAATAAAATGCCATTGCAGAACTAACATTCCAAAGAAAGAATGTGCTACTGTGGTTAGAGAGCCTATGTACTGACCTGAGAAATTTATATTTCCACTGCTTAATCTAATTGTTCTGTCTGTTGCAAAAAATTGTTTCCAAATCCCAACTGCTAAATCAAACACATTTCAGAATCTCTTCCTCAAAAGACACCATTAAGTGAGTGAAAAGGCATTTGCAGTATATATATCCAACAAAGGTGTCCCTTATCCAGATATATAAAGAGCTCTTACAAATCAATAAGAAAAAAGACCAGCAACCAGATAGAAAAATGAGCAAGGGACTTCCAACGGGCACTTTACAAAGGAAAATACACAAATGGGCCATTAAACGTGCAAAGGGGTGTTAAGTTTCACTAGCAACCAGGAGGAAGTGAAATGAAAACCACAGTGAAATGCCATAAACACCCACACAAACGGCTAATATTTAAAAGATTGACAAGAGTGAATGAGAATATAAAACGAGAAACTGTCATAACATGTTGATAAGAGAGCCTTCCCTAGTGGTGCAATGGTTAGGAATCCACCTGCCAATGCAGGGGACATGGGTTAGCTCCCTGATCTGGGAAGATCCCACATGCCATGAAGCAACTAATCCCGTGCACCAACTACTGAAGCCCATGCTCTAGGGCCTGTCAGCTGCAGCTACTGAGCCCATGAGCTGCAACTACTGAAGCCTGCGTGACTTGAGCCTGTGCTGTACAAGATGAGAAGCCTCAGCCACGACAAGACTGCCCACCACAAGTGGAGAGTAGCCCCCACTCTCCACAACCAGAGAAAGCCCATGCGCAGCAAGGAAGACCCAGCACAGCCAAAACTAAAAGAAAATGTTAAGTGTTGGTAGGAATATAACCTGGAAGAGTCACTTAGGAAAGAGCTTGGTATTATCCACTCACCTGAAAAGATACATATTTCAGGATCCAACAATTCTTCTCTTATGTATAGACTCAAAAAATGTGTGCATGTATTCACCAAGAAGATTCATAGCAGTGTTATTCATAATAGCCAAAAAAGCTTACCAACGAATAGATAGTTACTAGAAATAACTGTATATTTGTATCATGGAATACTAAACAGCAATGACAAAAAGCTGAAATACAACTCCAGTTAACTACTGGATGAATCTCAAAAAATAATACAGAACAAAAGAAAACAGATTCCCCCCAAAATATACTATAAAGCTCCATTTATATATCATTCAAAGAAATGGCAGAATTCAACTATAAGATTTAGGATACATGCCTAAGTATTAAAACTAGAAAGAAAATTAAGAAAGTGATCACCATAAAAGTTAGGAGCTTTCTTATTTTCGGGTGGAAGAGGATGATAACTACTGGAAGAGACCATGAGATGGGCTTCGGGTAGTACTGGCAATGTTCTATTTATGTGTGATTGTTACACAGGTGTTAACTTTGTGTTAATTCCTCACGAGGTACAGTTTTGTTTTGTGCACTTTTTTTGTATGGATGTTACATTTCACAATAACAGAATTTTTAAATTTTTCTGTTAGCTCATGTGCTTACCAGTAATGGTTCTCAACTTGTAACCATGATATACTTGTAGGGAGTGGCATAAATGAAGGTCACTTGGAATTATTATAAATATGCAAACGCTGTGATGATCATCAAGGTATTTAACAGCATACTGTTTTAGGAATTTTTTTCAGTTGCAGGTGTCAGGAACTGACTCAAACTATCTTGGCTCCAAAGGAGTACTTTCCTAGAAGGATGTGTGGGTAGCTCAGAGAACAGTAGGAAGAAAACAGGAGCTGCAGAGCTCCAGTTCAGAGTTGTTGGCCATTAGTTCAGTGTTAGTGAATCAACAATGTATATTAAATAAGGTGACTTTAAATAGAAACACACCTAAAACTAGGTTATATGTTGTTTGGTTGACAAAAGTTGGACCAGAGGCTGTCATGATCCTAACCCTGTATTTTCCCTAGGAGCAGTGCTATTCACTAATTCAGTGGATGTGATGATTTTATAGAATACAACTCTGCAAATAAAGGGAATCAATTGTGTATACATTGAGAACAGTGTGGATCTTCCTTTGGTCATATGGACAATGACCAGACATGACATTGGGTTACTTAGATGATATTGTCAGTCTCTGAGTAAACACCATTTCAGGGTACAGTAGAGTCATGTGTTCTCTGTCCTTGCATACATTGAAAATCAAGAACTTCCTTCAAACTTGAAAGCCCCACCCATTCTACTTCATAACCTGCTGTATGCAGCAGCTCTTAGAGTGACATTGGGAGCTCAGCTAGCCCCACTAGCAGCTCCCCATACAGAGAGCTAAGTAAAGATTTTCTCTGGCCTGGTTTCACATTCCTATGGCCAGTCACCAAACATGATTATTGAGGTAATAGACAACAAAGAGTGTTTATATGAGTGGATATAAGGAAAGGATTAAAAAAAGAAGATTGTTATTCACTATTTTCTTCCAAAGCCAATCCATTGTCCACTGTTTCTTACCTCCATTGCTACCATCTCTTGTCTAGATGCCTCAAAAAGCCTTCCAACTGGTCACCCTTCTTCCATCCTTGTGCAGCTGCAATCTTTCCTCCACAGAGCACCCAGTGTGATATTCTGAAGCATAACATTCTTATTAAAACCTTCAAGAACCCACAGAGCACTGGGAACAAAGTCCATATTCCTTACCATGCTACTAAGGCTTTACAAACTCTAGTTGCTGTGACCTCCCCACTTCATGTTCCAAAAGGGCAAATAGCCAAGCCTTGAGCCTTCCTAAGGTCTAGGCTCTAGAATCTGTACCTCACTGCTGCCACATTCTATTGATCAAAGCAAATCGCATGGCCAGACCATCAATCTGGTTGACTAGATTGAAGGGACTGAAGAAATACACTCTGCCTCTTGATAGAAGGAGGAGGAAGGCCAGTTGTAAAGAGCATGAACAAAGAGAAGCCTGATTCACTGAGGGCCTTATATTAGAACAGTCTGCCACCCCTCCCCTCCTATACTACCCTTCTTTCTGTTCCTCAAACAGTCTTCAAAAGTTTGTACCTGTTTTTTTCCAGTGGCAGAATTTCTCTGTAGGGAGAATTTAGAAGGCTAGATCTAGTTGGAAGAGGGAATTGAGTAGGAGACACATAGAGATGAGTTTGGATAGTGCACTTGTAGTACTAATTTAGGATGGTTCAAGGGAGCTAAACCCCAGACACCACCAGCCCTTCCTTGGTGCTGCT